GTCTTCCAAAGATTTCATTGCACATTCAATTACATTGGCCATTTTACTTGGCTTTTAATATTGTTTTTACTAAATGATGGAAAAAATAACATATATGTTTTTTTTTCCCCACATCAAATTAATCTGCTATTTGATTATTTATCAACATTTTGCATCTACATCCCAAACAATGCCTTGTAACTCCAAAAGCCATGGCGTGAATTTGGATTTCCAAAGTCCGGTTTTAAGGCTCTTTGGTTTTCCATTTCACCGCATGCTGCTTCACGGAGGAAATTCGATGGATTGTAAGAATGTCGATCCGTATGGCATCAGTTTAGACCCCAACAGCTCAAGTACATGACCGTCCTAAGAGATTCCTCAGCCTGCTTCGACTTCTCATCCTTACGTGTGGACGAAGAAGAGAACTTGTTGGATCTCATATTGTTCCGGATACGTTGATTCACCGATCAGAGCACGTAGTTCCACCGGCATATACCTAATTGATCCTTGGATGCCTCCACTGCTCCGATGCTGGCTGCCACCAACCATGATGTTTTGCTCGTTGAACTCATCTTTCTCTTCTATATATATATATATTTTTTTTTTTGTTTAACTTGGAAAATAAAAAACTCTTTCTTGCTTTTTGCAACTTCTTCGTTTGTGTTTTTTTTTCTGTGTCGTGAAATTTGTTGATGAAGAAGATGAGATACGAGAAGATTTGTTATATAGTAGAAAAAAGGATAAAGCTAGCAGCTGGTTTTCTCAAGTTTCTGTTGTCTGAGTGGGTGAGTTAGTTGGTGGTAATGCTAACTACCGTCGTATCCTTTCCCAGAACAAAACTGAATAAGAGGACAATGGATATTATTGTCTTTTTAGAGATTCTGGATTACCTCAACGCACCTGGTTTCGGTGACTTGTCCCTCGTGTTTCTCTCAACTTTAACTAACACGTAAATTAAAAAAAAAAAGAAGATGAAAGAAACTGTTTAAGTTTGACAAAATTAATCTTACATTATGAAAAACTACAAAAACCACCTTAGCTATTGAATGACAACGCCAAGTTTAACTCCATTTACGTGTTATGAAACGCACATAATCGCGTGTAATTCATACAAATACATAGTTTAAGAGACAGAGAGAGGCAAAAGGATTTTGGCAAATATAAAAGGAAAACTTAGATGCCTTGTCCGTCGTATAACTTCCATCTTTCGATCACTACCTTCAACTCCTCATCCCTTTTCCTCACCTGAAATCATAAGTTATACAAGTCGAATCAGTAGCTTTTGATCTCAATTGATCCATCATCATTATGTATATTCTCAAATAAGATATTCATTACTACTGTAGTCTGTACCTCAACCACGGGATTCCTTCCGCGAAGCAGCATATCAACACTCTTTTCAGTCTGCGCAATAGTCAGCGAGTAATCAAATTGTTAAATACAGTTTATCTTTGATATCAAAAGTCATTGAGGGTTAAGGATAGTGGATGCAGAGGCACGGACAGATTTGTGAAACAGTAGGAGGCATACCTGATGTGCAATCCAATAATCTCTCTTTCTCATCTCGATCAAGAAATAAAAAGTTGGTGGAGCTTTTCTCTCGAGAATGCTCTTTTGGCTCCTTCTTGCCCTTGCTTCTTCGTCTCCAATTGTGACAGTTTCAATTCCCCCAATCTACAACCAACAGTGAAAAGACAGAAGATGAGAAAATCTTTGTGACAAGCAGAAGGAAAGGACAATATAACCTTCAGACAAATAGTGAAGAAATTATTACCAAGTCCGAAAGAGTAGGATTCTTTATGATGTTCTGGAGCTGCTCTCCATGAGCAGTGGCGATTAGCATCACTCCCCTTTCAGCAATCGTACGACAGGCAAGCGCTTCAGCTTCTGTGCCAATCTCATCAACAATGATCACTTGAGGCATATGGTTCTCTACTGCCTCAATCATCACTTTATGCTGCAAAGATGGCTTCGGTACTTGCATTCTGCGCGCACCTCCAATAGCTGAGTGGGGAATATTGCCATCTCCTCCGATTTCGTTGCTTGTATCAACTATCACCTAAAAACCGCATATTGAGCACACTAAATCACTTAAAAAGGGAAAAACCTGCAAGGCTAATAAAATATAGGGATAGGCAACACACACCACTCTTTTCTGGAACTCGTTTGACAAGACACGAGCAATCTCTCGCAATACAGTGGTCTTTCCAACACCGGGCCTGTAATTAAGACAATCATCATAAAAAAAAGGTGGAAATGAAGCATAGGGTAGTAGTAAACAAGACGAGCAACAAGTACCGTCCAACAAACAATATGCTTTTCCCATAGTGAAGGAGGTCATAGAGCATGTCAATATGACCACTCACAGATCTCCCAACCCGGCAAGTTAAACCGACAACAAAGCCTTTCCTATTACGAATGGCTGAAATCCTGTGCAAAGTACCCTCTATTCCAGCTCTATTATCATCCCCAAATTCACCTACCAGCTCTTGAGCATCCTCAAGCTCTTCCATGGATACCTAAGCTAGTGTTTTCATGGATACAAGAATCAAGATTCAAAAGAAAGCAACATAACTCAATAACACAACATCATAATAAGTTTACCTCTATGTTCCTAAGATACTGGCCACCGGGTTCTCCGAGATACCGTGCTTCAGGTGGTCTCCCCAAGTCCATTATCACCTAATCAAGACTCCAAAAATCATCACCATAACAATTTCTAACTAATTCCTTTAGGCTACAGAATTGTGCTTGGTCTACAAATGAAGAGTGACTAAACAACCTCTACGAGCTGGTTTTTGCGGGAATCGTTCAGGAGACGGTGACGCAGATCTCCGGGAAGAATCTACAAAGAGACAAGTGTTAAGGCAAAATATCAGACTGAAGTGTAGAACAAAGATGAACAGAGGTGAAATCAGACCTGGAGGAATTTGCCGAGATTGTCGTCGACGATCATAGTGGAGGATTTTGGAAGAGCGAAGGAGACGACGGTTGGATGTCGCCTGCGAATTGGGGAAAGAGCTTCGCCGTTTTGGTATGAGAAAGAGAAACTCCATGGGACGCAGACTCTAGCCATCATCTTCCACTATCCCACCGGAGGGGATAAAGGGGGATCAACACAAAAATGCCTCAAAATTTATTATATCTATATGGGCCTTCAGGCTATTGATAAAATAAAGCCCATATTAGTTCTTTGATTATCTGATATTCAGACTAGTCCAAAATGTTTATTTTAATCTTTCAATATTTTAATTTTTTCGTGAGACATTTTTTCTTCACATAAATTTCTTCTTCGTAATATTAAAAAAATATAATTTTAATATTCAAAACTTTAATATAATAGATCTTGTAAACTAACAACTTAAATTACATTAATCAAGAAACTCTAAACTTTATCCAACTATATTAGTTAAAAAAAAATAGAATTTCATAAATTACCAAGAGTAAGTATTAATTATATGAGAAATTACATGTGTATCCTAGCTACCCCTTTGAGTCATCCCGAAAACTACATAAATATTCAATTACACTAAAAAAGAACCAATCTTCAAATCACCACACACAAAAAAAACTCAAAAATTTACCATCATGAAGCTACTCAAAGTATATAATAAAAAATACGTACAATATTCATAGTTTTTACCTCAATCCGTACTTGATCATTGTTCCACAAGGCATGCTTGGATATGTTTTGACTTTTGATTATGTTATAAAAATCAAACCTCTTTCTTCAAAATATTTGTATGTCACCACAACCATACGTATATAGTAGATTTTATTTACAAATGAATATTAAAAAAAAAAAAAATTCTACAAATGAATATTACTAAGTCAAAGATAATATAAAGAAAGTTGTAATAAATGGATTTTATAATTCTCACATTTGATTAGACACTTCAGTAGAAAGAAAATAAAGTAAAAAAAGGAAATAAAGAATACAATTGTAAAACCAATAAAAAATATTCGGATGAAAATGAAAATGTAATAATATTTAGTATTGATTTTGATTCAAAAATCAATTGAATGCATGCTAAGACACTAAAAATATCTATCCTTTAATTATTGAAGTTTTAGATAAAAAGTCTCTTTAGATCCACATCATACTTTTGAAAAAAAAACATCTCTTTAGAAATTTAGATAAAAATGGAAGAAGATATCAAGTATCAAACTTCTCCAAAAACTGGCCTAAAATATCTAAAGATGCATTAACCACATTACTGTTTTCAGGACTCGTTCTTTCAACTTTCTTGATAAACCTTTTCGGAAAATATTGTTTACGCCTCGACTTCAAAACCTTTTTATCCTTCTCATTGTCACGAAGATGACCAACTCGTGAAGTCGTCTTTGCCACAAGAAGATCAATCTCATTTTTTTGGATCTTGTTGAAGCTACTACTATCAAATTTCTGCAACTTCTTCTTAACAATATCATAAACAGTTTGCACAATGAACTCAGGATACTTGCTACGGTTTGGGATTTGCTCATTTTCTGGCACAAAATCCACAGTACATTTATACATCACAGATTCAGCAAAAACTTCATCGCGATGGAAACTGTAGAAGAGGTCACTTGAATCTTTGGATTTCCAATTTGTAAGATATTTTTTATCGACATCTTCTGGACGATAAAACCACTGCACTTCTATTTTTACATATCCCTCCTTGCCTTGAATATAAATATCCTATTCAATAAACAGTTTGATTATGATAAGGTAAAGTTTAAAATCGTATCGATGTTCCTATTATTATTTGTAATTTGTAACCTTTATGATCGCAATATAAGGCTTTCGGTTTATGTCCTCAGGAGTCAACATCACCGAATCCTCCTATTCAAAAGACACAAGAACAAATTATAATTACAAAGTACTTGTCATGAATATTTGTGCAACTTCAAACAACCGAAACAAACTTAGTTTACTTAAAATTAAAAAGATTACAAGACCATAAATTTTAATAGTATGTTGTCCAAACCCGATATCCAAAATATGGAACCATAAACCCCAAAAAATTAATTTTAGGAACCATAAATCTAAAAATGGTATATTCTTTAATTTTGAAAGAATTGTTTCGTAATTTAAGCTCTTTTAATATTTTCCATAGTTTTTCATTGTTTCATCTGTCAAAGCCTTTAAATTAATTAATCTTAAAAAAAAAAAAAACTCACCAGTTGATATTTTGTGCCATGAAACTCGAATGTCTTGTAATGGTACTTCTTGTTTTTTCCCACACCAGTAAACTTGATCAACGTACCAATTGCATGCGCGCAATCTTGCCATGGCCACTCTAACTTTGTTTTCTTCTTCACATGCATTTCCTCATGATCATTCTTCCGGTTTCTCTGTTTCTTCTCCATTTTTCCGGTGCTTCACTTTGAAACCTTCAATCACTCTTCATGATTTAATCCTTTGTAATATACATTTGCAAAATAGTAATTTTAATGATTTCTTCTTCGTAATACTGGAAAATATCATTTTAAATTTTCAAAAAAAAAACATTTTAATATTTAAACTATTTCGTAAAGTATAAAATTCAAACTTTAGTAATATAGGTCTTGTAAACTAACAAGTACAACTAAATCATTCAAGAAACTCCAAAATTACCCAACTATATTAGTTGAAAAATATGATTTCATAAATTGCCAAGAGAAAATATTCTATGAAAAATTATATTTGTACCGAAAAAAAGACTCAAAAATTTACCATCATAAAACTACTTAAAACTATGTAATAAGAAATACGTAGATTGTTCAATTATATACCTCAATTCGTACCTGATTCTTGTTCCACCGGACCAATGCTTGAATATGTTTTGATTTTGTTATAAAAATCAAACCTC